CAGAGTTTCTGCTGCACAATAAGAGAGAAAAATCAATAAGAATTTCTATCTCACCAAGAAACAAGAATCTGAAGTGGATATCTCAACAAAGTGAGATATCGGCTCTTCCTCTCATCAGTTCTAGGACAAGAATCTGAAGTGGATATCTCAACAAAGTGAGATATCGGCTCTTCCTCTCATCAGTTCTAGGACTGACTTGTCGAGAGATCCTCTCTTCCTCTCATCAGTTCTAGGACTGACTTGTCGAGAGATCCTAAAAACTATTACAATGGCCACAAACACAAACAAACCAACTTTACGTGGTTCGGCAAACTGCCTACGTTCACGGGGCAATGAGGGGGAGATCTACTATTAGAGGGAGAGAACACAACTAGGATTTACAATCACTCAATCTAAACCCTCAAACAAACTCTCAAATCCCTCACAATATCTCTTTACAAAAGCACAAAAGGACTGCACATAATCACTTCTACCGCAAAATAAATCCCAACCAAGGAAGAAAAAAAAAGCCTTTTTTTCCTTTGCGTTTGCTTTTGCCCTTTTTGCTTGCCTTTGCACGCCGTCGCACTCTGCGTTCTTCCCCACCTTTGCACAAAAAACCTAAAAAAATGCAATGATATTTATAGTCTGCAGAAATCAGTCTTCGGGTGGGTCGCGGAATCGAAACCGCGTTCACACAACGCACTTGCCTTCGTGACCTGCTCACATGGGTGACCCCACGTCTTCACAATTCTCCACCTCGGCGAAGTTTTTCCAAAACCGAGCCGACACCAAAGCATCCAAATGTCCCACTTGCTATGTCCAGTACGAAGTGAAACAATTCACGACAACGGACTCAATCCATAACAAGTCGAGAACCCAAATGAGAATGCAAACACTCTCCAAATGTCGGTATCAACTCACCAAATCGATCTCACCCCCATCAAAATCCAAACCGACTGCATCGTAAAGACTGCCTACGTATCCTCTTTCCTAAGGAATCAAGCCTAACATAGTTCACTAAATGGCCTTCAAAGGCCTCAATCCACTAGAAGAGTTCGTAATCCTTCTCCAATATCATCAACTCTACGACTGATAGCACATTCAATGACCTCAAACACCTCCACCTGAGGTGAACCAATGGTCATATCCAAACTACATTTATCAGCTACACTCGAATCAAAACCTAACTCATCATCTGCATCCAAATCCAAGTGATCCCTAAGATGTGTCATCTCAGCTGGAATCCCAAACAATACAGTATGATCTAGAGTAATCTTCACCCAATGTGGAGTAGTATCAATCTCCACCCGCTGCGATACATCTAAGGTCTGTCTAAAACTCTCCACCTGCTGAGAGTCAATTGGCTTTCTCATCGAAGCCTCATTCAAAGTGACACAATCAGACCTATCTTCCAATAGAGTTTTACCTCTAATCATAGCAGTTGACAACTCTTTAATAGGATAACTCAAATATATCGAAGCCTCAGTCCGGAACCTCTTCTGCAAACCATTGCTCGATAACAAACACCGATCCTCCTCCAGCAAGGCACGGTTCGCCAAATTTGTCACCCTATCTAGGTGCCCCAAGATTTTCTTTCCAATGAAGTGTCCTAAAATACCGTGAGCTCGGCTCCAATACAGAAACAGGTCTATCTTGTACCTCTCATTAAAATCAGAATGAAGTACCTTCACCTTTTTGTCCATCTTACACTTCTTCAAACTGTTAGAGACTACTAGGACTTTCTCCGATGAGGATTTGGTTGCAATCCAAACACGCCTAGAATAGTCACCAATAAAGAAAACCAAACGCCTATTACCTCCCAATGATGCTCCATTGGAAGGCCCCCAAACATCCACGTGAACTCCTCCAGAACGACCCTTAGCACGGTGAATAGAGGTGCCACACTTCACCTAGGTCTTCTTGCTCACATCAAAATGTTCACTGGAGTTCAAACTACAGGTTTCGCACCCTCTTTCAATCTATACGAGGAATCAATACTGGAATAGCTAAGCCCCAAATGCCGCAGTCTAGTCGAATCAATAGAAGTCGCCAGTTCTCCACCTGCCACTATACCTTCAGTTAAGTAATACAGATTATTCCTCCTGACGCCCTTCATCACAATCCGAGAGTCTTCCACAATCTTGAGAACCATGTCCTCAATTCGAATATTCAGACACTCTCCAACCAAAGCTTAAATCAAGATTAAGTTCTTCCTCAAAGAAGGAACATATCTCACATCATTTAACTCCCTAACAACCCCGTCAAACATTTTGATGTGAATTCTTCCTATCCCAAGGATCTGGCACGCACGGTTATCAGCCATGTACACTACACTACTATCCAGCTTCTCAAAACTAGAGAACCATTCCCTTCTAGGGCACACATGATAGGTCACACCACTATCCAACATCCACTCGGATTCCTCCGAATAGCTACATGTAGGACTGATAGAAAGCAAATAAATAGAAGAGTCAGAAATATTATCATCCGATACGATGTTTGCTTCTGATGATGGTTGCTTCCCTTTTCCCTTCTGCTTATTCTTCATCCATTCGTCGAGCTTTGGGTAATCTTTCTTCCAATGACCAGTCTCCTTGCACCAAGCACACTAATCTTTTTTAATTATAGGATGTCCTACTCTAGACTGTAACTTCTAATTCTTTCGATTTGGACCATTCCCTCTTGCGGCCAACGCCTCTGCTACCGACTCAGTCGAAGTCTCCTTATCCTTCTTCTGAAGCTGATAATTCACCAGTGCAGCAGTGACCTCACTATACGAAAGAGATGTCTTCCTATTAATCAGAGTAAGGACTAAGGTCTTATATTCCTCATCGGGCAAGAAACTCAATAACAGCAACGTCTTGTCCTCATCTTCAATCATGACATCCACATTCGCCAAATCCGCAAGAAGCTTTGTGTAGGTGTTCATGTGATCTCTAATTGAGGTTCCATTCTTCAACTGGAAACGATAAAGTCTCCTCTTCAAATGCAAGCAGTTCTCAACACTCTTTGTCAGATACTTGCTTTCGAGAATCTCCCAAATCTTCTTTGAAGAAGTCTCATTCATCACATCATATTTTATATCTTGAGTCAAACAAGACCTAAACACACCACACGCTGTTTGATTCATCTTCTTCCAAACCTTCTCTTCAATGTCATCTGGCTTGCCATCTAACTCTAAGGTATCTTCCAAATTCTGTACGTTCAACACATCCAAAACTTCGTATCTCCATAATCCAAAGTTATTTGTGCTATTAAATTTCTCCACATCTATCTTCATAGAGTAGATATTCAAACTCTAAATGGTCTTCGTGCCAGAAGCACCACCCTCGACACCCGAAGCACCTTCTTTCCCCGACATCTTTCTCAACGCACCAACGAATAAAGAATAGATCCAAAACTAAAAAGATAGAGTCTTTACCAAAAGATCCCATCTTTATCACCAAACGAAACCCTAGATGAGCCTCCAAATTGATCTAATCCTCCAACCAAACTCTAAATCTGGAACATAGGCTTTGATACCACTTGTTGTGCGCAGCAAAAATTTTAGCAGAGTTTTTGGTGCACAATAAGAGAGAAAATCAATAAGAATTCCTATCTCACCAAGAAAATAAGAATCTGAAGCGGATATCTCAACAAAGTGAGATATCAGCTCTTCCTCTCATCAGTTCTAGAACTGACTTGTCGAGAGACCCTAAAAACTATTACAATGGTCACAAACACAAACAAACCAATTTTACGTGGTTCGGCAAACTGCGTACGTTCACGGGGCAAGGAGGGGGAGATCTACTATTAGAGGGAGAGAACACAACTAGGATTTATAATTACTCAATTTAAACCCTCAAACAAACTCTCAAATCCCTCACAATATCTCTCTACAAAAGCACAAAAGGACTGCACATAATCACTTTTGCCAAGAAATAAATCCATGCATGAAGTCGCAGCCAAGGAAGAAAAAAAGACTTTTTCCCCTTTGCGCTTGCTTCTGCCCTTTTTGCTCGCCTTTGCATGCCGCCGCACTCTGCGTTATTCCCCGCCTTTGCACAAAAAACCTAAAAAAATGCAATGATATTTATAGTCTACAAAAATCAGTCTTCGGGTGGGCCGCGGAATCGAAACCGCGTTCACACAACGCGCTTGCCTTCGCGACCTGCTCACGTGGGTGGTCCCACGTCTTCACAGATTATATATATAATCAGTATATATATAATCAATATATATATAATCAATATTGACAAAAAGAAAATGTTGCTTTCTAAACCTTATGGGGATTTGTTGTCAAAGTTGCAAACCTAAGGGGATTTTATTGTTCTTTACCCTATTTTTTGACGCAGTGCGGAAGTTGTAGCCTCGGAATCCATCAAGGACAATCTTCGAATCCACGAAGAGCTTCGAATCCACAAAGTAAATATTAAAGAAAAACAAAAATTTATTAATCAAAAGTTATGTCTCCAGGGCTTACAAGACCCTACTTAAATAGAAAAGAAACAAGGCTTTTACAAGGACTCAAACTCCTACAAGGACTCTAACTTACCAAAAATAGTAAAAGAATTCCTAAAACATTAAAACTCCTAAAAAACTCCTTACGACTAGGAAAGTCCACCGGTCAAATCTGAGATCAAATTGGCTTTGTTTCCTAATCAAAACAGACTTCTAAAACATTACTAAAAATAGTAAAAAACAGACAAAAATGCAGATATCTCTCAAACCGTAAGGAATTTGACGAAACAGAGGAAGCAAACCGAATCCGTTGGGGTCAGTTTGGATGGCTCCGTCTCGTCGAGATAGTCGATTTTCATATATAATTCGTCCAATTCCGACGTAGGGTTTGAAAGTTACGGCCATTTCTTCGAAACAAGTTATTTTCTTCGACCAGACCCGCATTTGGGCTTGCGACTGTCTCATTTTGACATAAACTTGTTTGCCATGTGTTCTACATTATTTTTTATCTTGTATATCATAAAAGACAAAAAAAGTACTGATGCACATTCCAAAAGGGCCCAAACATATTGAAGACAGATCCAGCAATAAAAGCCCTTATCTATATCTATATTGATTAGAATTCAGAACCATCACACATCATTTTACCCATCTACAGCCATGCTTTTTACAAGGAAATAAAGAAAGAAGATACACAACAAACAGTAGACAGCTAGACACCATCCTGTTCAAAAATAAAATTGAATTACCCTAAAAAACTAAAAGAAAAAAATAATAACGCAGTAAAGGATTTTATTTCCCTCTAAAAAAAAAAAAAAAAAAAAAAAAAAGGTCCAAAAAAAAAAAAAAAAAAAAAAAAAAGAGGAAAGAAGAAGAAGAGGATGCTATCTGTGATCAGTATCACAGAGCCCTTGTCTTCAAGACTACATCTTTAGCTCTACCGCGTGTACATCTTTAGCCCTGTCTTCTCCTTCACCGCTTTGATCCTTAATTTACAAAAGAAACATAATAATAAATCAGTCATTATTATTTGCGATCAGTCGAAATTACCAATAAGATTAACTTTAAATTTCAGAGAGCTGCCATCAACTATATATTAGAGCTTTTGCAGAGAAATGTCTTAAATTTTAATTATTACAGAAAACTTCCATAAACTTATTACTTTTCTAACTGAATCATCGTACCTAACCCAATAAACTTTTAACTTAATTTCACGAAAATGGGAAATCTAGCTAGTCTTCTCTTCACGGGTAAATTTCACGAAACCCCCTCTTAAGTTATGCCAGTTTTGACATAACCCAATAAACTTTTAACTTAATTAACCCGCCTTAGGTTTAGGGCGTTTCAGAAGAAAGTCTCCGAAAAATTTCAACTAAACCCCTTAATTACTTAACGGTCGGTGTAAGAAGAACCGACAATAAAAGATCAAAATATATACCTTTTTCGAATTAAGTACATCTTAACCGTATATATGCACGTGACTGTTATATGCATATATATGAACAGCCAGACAAAACAAAACCTAAGAGGCATTGAGTGACATTTTTTTTTAAAAGATTAGAGGGGTTATTTCAAAAAATGAGGAGGATTTTTGTGAACTTTAGCCAAAATTTTGATACACATGAGATTATTATGGGAGCTAGCTTAGCAGGGCGCTAGCTGCTGACCTCGGCACTCTCCCGGACGCAGTTCTTGCTCGCCGCGGGCTTCTTGATCCCTAGAAACTCCTTCCACTTCATCGACCCTTTCGGCGGCTTGCCGGAAACGCGAGTGCCCCCGTCCGTCGTCAGAATCCCGGCGGCGCTATCTCCTCGAACAGCGTCGCCTGCACCGCTCGCCGGGCCCCCGCGCAGGGGCAGCATGCGCCGCCGAAGAAGAGGCTCGTCGGCTGCCATCATCGGCGCGCCCGCCGACTGAGAACTCGAAGTCGCGGTCCGAGCAGACGCGCTCGCGGCGGCTCGGCGGAGGCGGGTCGACGGACGAAGCGTTGGAGTAAGGAGATGGGGGGCCGATCGGGTCGGCGTGGGTTGAACATGTTCATGCACGCCATCTATCTAGATTTTTTTAGAGAGAGAGGGAGGATTTAAATGGTTTTTTTTGTGTGTGTGTGTGTGTTTAGGTTGTGCTCGATATCGAGTAGTATATATAGCGCGTGTTATATGGTTTGATGCACCTAGATCTACTTGCTTTGTTACGGTCACAAAGTTTGAGACAGTGGTAAATTCTATGATTGTTACGCATACATATCTGCCACTTAGTCTTGCATATTTCAGATTTATTATTCAAATCTCTAAATATTAATTTGTTGGAGTTATGTTCATGTTCTCAAAGATTAGTTTAATATGCTAAGCGTTCCTCATGTTTTGGTCAGAGCTGACGGTTTTATGCAATAACCTGGACTCACACGGCGATACATGTATATTTTAAATTTTCTTTTAATTAGACGCGTGGCTTTTGAGATTTAAGCCTAAATTGTTTTATATCATATTAAAAAAATTCTTTTCGCTGCAGGAAGGTTCTAAAGCTATATATTGCGATGGTTATAGTCATAAAGTTTGAGCCAGTGGTAAATTCTATGATTGTTACACATATCTGCCTCCTAGTCTTGCATATTTCAGATTTATTATTCAAATCTCTAAATATTAATTTGTTGGAGTTATGTTCATGTTCTCAAAGATTAGTTTAATATGCTAAGCGCTTCCTCATGTTTTGGTTAGAGCTGACAATTTTATATAATAACCTGGACTCACACAGCGATACATGTATACTTTAAATTTTCTTTTAATTAGACACGTTGCTTTTGAGATTTAAGTCTAAATTTTTTATATATCATATTAAAAAATTCTTTTCGCTACAGGAAGGTTCTAAAGTTATATATTGCGATGGTTATAGTCATAAAGTTTGAGCCAGTGGTAAATTCTATGATTGTTACACATATCTGCCTCCTAGTCTTGCATATTTCAGATTTATTATTCAAATCTCTAAATATTAATTTGTTGGAGTTATGTTCATGTTCTCAAAGATTAGTTTAATATGCTAAGCGCTTCCTCATGTTTTGGTTAGAGCTGACAATTTTATATAATAACCTGGACTCACACAGCGATACATGTATACTTTAAATTTTCTTTTAATTAGACACGTTGCTTTTGAGATTTAAGTCTAAATTTTTTATATATCATATTAAAAAATTCTTTTCGCTACAGGAAGGTTCTAAAGTTATATATTGCGATGGTTATAGTCATAAAGTTTGAGCCAGTGGTAAATTCTATGATTGTTACACATATCTGCCTCCTAGTCTTGCATATTTCAGATTTATTATTCAAATCTCTAAATATTAATTTGTTGGAGTTATGTTCATGTTCTCAAAGATTAGTTTAATATGCTAAGCGCTTCCTCATGTTTTGGTTAGAGCTGACAATTTTATATAATAACCTGGACTCACACAGCGATACATGTATACTTTAAATTTTCTTTTAATTAGACGCGTTGCTTTTGAGATTTAAGTCTAAATTTTTTATATATCATATTAAAAAATTCTTTTCGCTACAGGAAGGTTCTAAAGTTATATATTGCGATGGTTATAGTCATAAAGTTTGAGCCAGTGGTAAATTCTATGATTGTTACACATATCTGCCTCCTAGTCTTGCATATTTCAGATTTATTATTCAAATCTCTAAATATTAATTTGTTGGAGTTATGTTCATGTTCTCAAAGATTAGTTTAATATGCTAAGCGCTTCCTCATGTTTTGGTTAGAGCTGACAATTTTATATAATAACCTGGACTCACACAGCGATACATGTATACTTTAAATTTTCTTTTAATTAGACGCGTTGCTTTTGAGATTTAAGTCTAAATTTTTTATATATCATATTAAAAAATTCTTTTCGCTACAGGAAGGTTCTAAAGTTATATATTGCGATGGTTATAGTCATAAAGTTTGAGCCAGTGGTAAATTCTATGATTGTTACACATATCTGCCTCCTAGTCTTGCATATTTCAGATTTATTATTCAAATCTCTAAATATTAATTTGTTGGAGTTATGTTCATGTTCTCAAAGATTAGTTTAATATGCTAAGCGCTTCCTCATGTTTTGGTTAGAGCTGACAATTTTATATAATAACCTGGACTCACACAGCGATACATGTATACTTTAAATTTTCTTTTAATTAGACGCGTTGCTTTTGAGATTTAAGTCTAAATTTTTTATATATCATATTAAAGTCGGCTGGGTTGAACATGTTCATGCACGCCATCTATCTAGATTTTTTTAGAGAGAGAGGGAGGATTTAAATGGTTTTTTTTGTGTGTGTGTGTGTGTTTAGGTTGTGCTCGATATCGAGTAGTATATATAGCGCGTGTTATATGGTTTGATGCACCTAGATCTACTTGCTTTGTTACGGTCACAAAGTTTGAGACAGTGGTAAATTCTATGATTGTTACGCATACATATCTGCCACTTAGTCTTGCATATTTCAGATTTATTATTCAAATCTCTAAATATTAATTTGTTGGAGTTATGTTCATGTTCTCAAAGATTAGTTTAATATGCTAAGCGCTTCCTCATGTTTTGGTTAGAGCTGACAATTTTATATAATAACCTGGACTCACACAGCGATACATGTATACTTTAAATTTTCTTTTAATTAGACGCGTTGCTTTTGAGATTTAAGTCTAAATTTTTTATATATCATATTAAAAAATTCTTTTCGCTACAGGAAGGTTCTAAAGTTATATATTGCGATGGTTATAGTCATAAAGTTTGAGCCAGTGGTAAATTCTATGATTGTTACACATATCTGCCTCCTAGTCTTGCATATTTCAGATTTATTATTCAAATCTCTAAATATTAATTTGTTGGAGTTATGTTCATGTTCTCAAAGATTAGTTTAATATGCTAAGCGCTTCCTCATGTTTTGGTTAGAGCTGACAATTTTATATAATAACCTGGACTCACACAGCGATACATGTATACTTTAAATTTTCTTTTAATTAGACGCGTTGCTTTTGAGATTTAAGTCTAAATTTTTTATATATCATATTAAAAAATTCTTTTCGCTACAGGAAGGTTCTAAAGTTATATATTGCGATGGTTATAGTCATAAAGTTTGAGCCAGTGGTAAATTCTATGATTGTTACACATATCTGCCTCCTAGTCTTGCATATTTCAGATTTATTATTCAAATCTCTAAATATTAATTTGTTGGAGTTATGTTCATGTTCTCAAAGATTAGTTTAATATGCTAAGCGCTTTCTCATGTTTTGGTCAGAGCTGACAATTTTATATAATAACCTGGACTCACACAGCGATACATACATATATATTTTAAATTTTCTTTTAGACGCGTGGCTTTTGAGATTTAAGTCTAACTTGTTTTATATCATTTAAAAAAAAATTCTTTTCGCTCCAGGAAGGTTCTAAAGTTATTGCGATGGTTAACATATATAATTTTACTATAACCACTTTATGCATTTTCTATTAGTAGAGAGACCCCTTCCTTGCTTATAGTCGTCTACTTATATCTAGAGCGATTTTATCTTTCAAGCAGTAATTGCCACCATTATAATCCCTACGGATTACACTTTTTTTTTTTCACTTGGAATTCAATAAAAAAAACATATTTCATCCAAGAAGTATAATTTCTTTATAGTTTGAAAAGTGTATTATACGCATGTAATTATATTCGTTGATAACTATGTACTTGGATGGAGTTGAATATATAGATTCTTACGAGCAAGCATCAGTACTAGCTATTACCCTTTTTTTTTGTCCAACTAATTAATTTCAAAAGCTATGTCTAGTCGTAACCCTATCAACTTTACAAATAATTTAAAAATCTCTAATATGAAAAATTGACACAGCTCAGGAGCAAAACCTCGAAATCATCAAGGGGCTTCCTACGATCTACAAAGAAAAGTCTTTCAAGTCTATGGAAAGATAACCTCGCATCCATGAAGCAGTACGAAAGAGAAACTTTATTAGTCAAAATTAATCATTTCTCTTGTTCACAGTGCTTTATCTAAAAAAAACATGACAAAATCTTAATAGAAATAGATTTTTTTAACCAAAAAAATAGAAATTCTTCAAAATTGTCTTTTATAATTGATCAGAAAATAGATCTGTCTTCGTTTTCTATCCTATAAATGAACTCTAGTTTTACTACTAAAAATAGCTGAAAAGATGTCTTTTATAATTGATCAGGAAATAGATCGGTCAAATTTGAATTCGTTTTCTATCCTAAATGAACTCTAGTTTTATTACTAAAAATACCTGAAAAGCTGTCTTTTATAATTGATCAGAAAATAGATCGGTCAAATTTGAATCAAATCTGAATTTATTTTCTATCCTAAATAAACTCTAGTTTTATTATTAAAAATAGTTGAAAAGCTGATGAATTTCAGAATTCTGCCAAATACGACCAAATTCCGGAAATATTCTAACACGGTTGGCTCCGCCTCGTCGTGACAAAAGATTTCCGTACTAATATGTCAGAATCCATCTTTCGGATAAGAAGACACGTTGTTTTCCTAGAGGCAAGTCAGCTATTTATCGATCCAGAACCGTTTGGTTTCTGACAGTTCAGCTGCTCATAAATGTTTCCACCATGAGCTCTTCATCAGAAATCCCAAATTTATATGCAAAATTAACAATTTTTTCCCCACCTCAAATTTGTTTCGCATTCATGTGCCAACGATGCCACGAACGAAATACATGATGTCCGTTAGGGGACCATGATACTAGCGAGGTGGGGTGCTGTCACTGGAAAGTGACAAAAGAGCTTAATTTGCT